AGAAAAGAAACGAAAGTAACCCCTTCTCATCCTCTTTTACCTCACCATGGTGCACGCTTCGGACTTGGAACCAAGTCTCTTGGGGATTGGGGCTTGGGCCGACAATTGGAGAAGATGTCAGGGTCGCCCTGAAGCAGAAGTCAAGAGCAAAAATTCACCACCGGTCCATAGGCCACAAACCATATCTCCCAAGGCCGAATTCAGCACAGGAGAGACGAAAAAGCCCATTCCGACGATATCCGACAGAGGACCTACAGGACCTCTACCAGGGATTAGACTTCAGGAACCAGACTTGGAAAAGAAAAAGCAAAACTCGCATCGAAAGAAACACATCAGTCGGCCACCAGTGGTCTGGACGGAGCAAAACAAAAGGCCATCTTTGAAGCCTAGAGAATACTCATGCTACTCCAGGTGAGTCTTTCCGAGTCCTCAAAAGCCCAGTTGCTAACTGAAGCAGAGGGAGTGCGCCTGGCAAAACGCCCACTTCTGAGAGTAGCAAATGTGGTGTGACGGCGTGAGGGCTGTAAGGAGGTGTACGGGCTTGGGCAAGTTGTAATTTCGAAAAACTTTTGACATCAAGAAGAATGTATCGTAGAGACATGTCGAGTCCACTTGGACCTGGAACATCGTGTTGAGAACAGCGTTGCAGCGGCCGTGATGGCAGTTGAAAAGGTGCAGCCCCCTCACCCAACCAGCTGATGTGATGTGAGGTGGGGCAACCAAAGCCGGGCAACAAGATCATGCAAGCCACATGCAACGCACCAGCCTCTTGAAACTTGACGTGGCTGCTTCATTTGCCATGTCCAAAGGGTCCAATCTTCCATCTGAAATCTGCCTTTCTGATTGTGAATGCTGTGGATTGTTGAGAAACGTGGTGGCCGAGTGATATCAAAAAGCCAATTGCCCGACTAGGGAGTTGTATTTGAATGGAAGTGTAGTTTCTATCGATAGAATTTCCGCACTCACCAGTCAAACACCAAGGAACAGGATTTCCCGCCATCACCAAGAGGACGCAGGCCTCGTGATCCCAAATGGTGTTTGGGAGATCGGCGATGTCACCTGCAGTGATTGTGGTCGTTCGTCGGAGTTGCCCCGCACGAGACGGCATCCAGTCGATGGTGAAGCACATACTCCGGAGTTCATTCTCTATGAGAAAGATTGAAATTCAATTAGCTGGAGGGTAAGTTGTGTAGAGGTCAAATGAGCACTATAAAATGTGAGATCTCTGTAATCTCCATGTCCACGCTTCTCGAAGCCAACACGAGACGGTCTGGCCGTTGAGGTTCACAGCAGCCAAAGTGGAACGATCGCAACGAACTGTGGAGGGGTATGATGTAATTGATTGGCAATTTGAACCAATCATATAGCCGTATGCAAGCTAACGCTCCACCCTTCTCCCTGGCCCTGCATGCCGAATTCACAGCTTCATGCTGGATTCATGTTCGACATTGGGCAACCTCTGAGCTCACCAGAGCATCTTCATAGGGTCATGATTCCTCTCAGCTGGGCCGTTGCGAAGGAGGTCTAAGGGTACACAGAACGGGTATAGTCTATAAAGCCAACTCGACCATCAGAGAGATTGCAGTCCAGAACAAACAGAACCCAATGACGCAGTGGTCAAGGTGACTGTTGACCGGTTCTTCAGAAGCAGGTAACAGGTGATACGTCCAATGTAGCCAAAGCAAGACACACCTTGTTCCTCCAATCCAGCGTCGTAAGACGACTGCCTCAAAACAGACGGGCGGCAACTTTGAGCTCAAACGGAAGCCAATCGGCTGGTTTTGTTCAACAAGGAAATCTGCAATTCCTTGCCTCGTGCATCCCATCGTGCTTGCTTCCCCGCAACATCCCCAACAGTCAATCCTGGAAGCAGGAAGTAAAAGGAAGCCACCGACAGGACATCTTTCCCGAGCATTCCATCCCGCCTTCGCTGCTAGAGGTGAAACTCTTCTTTTTTACAAAACATCGTCCTCCCCGCAGACGACATCGTAACCTCGACAACCTTCCAATTAGGCATCTAGGTACTTTTCTGAGGCACAGTACTTCATTGCAAACCGAGAAAATGGATCGCTTCCATCAAAGTATGTTTCGCCTCATCAGAAACAGATCACTCGATCGATGAACTGACGCCTCTGGTTACAGTCAACCCGTTCGCAAAGCGCGACTCCCATACGACGACCTCCATCACGACCTATAAGGTCCTCTCCCTCCTCACCTGGCTCTTGTCTGTCGTGACCACCGTCTATTACGACACCCATGCACCAACCGACGGGAAATACCCTGGTGCTAGCATCTGGCACCAAAACTATCACCACTACTCTGGCTTCACCCAGAATGCTGTCATCACCTCCATCTACTTTGTCGTCATGTTCATCCTCCAGCTGATTTACACATCTCACCTTTTCTCCTCCGATGCCACTACTGTCAACGCCGCCGCTTCCGTTGGCAGCCACTTCATCCTCAACAATCTGCTCCACTTCGCCTGGGTGATGCTCTTTGTCAGGTCGCACTTTATCTGGTCCGAGATCATTTTGATCATCAACTTCTTCAACTTGTCCAGCTTGTACTTCCGCCATGCGACCTACACAAAGTTCATTCACGCCGGCGCCGTGAGCTGGCCCTTGGCTTGGACGTTTGTGGCAATTTACTGGAACGGTGCGATCATGGTTCCCCATCAGCATAGTTTGGTGGCCAGGATCTTTGCGAATGTATTTATCTGGAGCTTGTTGGGTTATGGGTTGTTCTTCATCGTTTTGTACAAGGTATGGCTTTCCCATTCCTGAATCAGAGGCGAGAATATGCTAATAGTAGGCAGGACTACACCATGGGCTTTGCTCTCAGTGTCTTATCAGCCTCCTTGGGTGTTGCCCAGTTTTCCAGACAGGTCATTGCCTTTCAGTGGATCTTTGCGTTCACAATCATGGCAGTGCTGTTTGTGGCGACGGTGTTGGTCGCTGTGCCAGCTTGGACTGGACGGGATGACTTCTTTGGTGCTAGGAGGGAACCAGTGGGAGACGCCGAGAGAGCCCCGCTGTTGGCTGATAACTAGGGGGTTTAGCAGAGAGTGAGGTACAGATGTTTAGTGGGAGTTGAGAGACGGAGTGGCTGATGGAGATGAAAGAGCTTTAGTGATAATGTGTTGGGGGGTTGGGGGCAGCTCAAGATTGCGTTACTTGTTAGTTTGAAGGATTTTTCTCTCTCTTTTACTCTCGTAGCATGTAATATCGTCTTTTCTCTTTCAGCGTACTTTAGTACAATGATGCTTGCATGGTGTCGTGGGCGTCTTTCGGCTCAAAGCTATGACGTATGCGGGCGTTTATCGATAAGAATACTATCGCGATAACAAAAGTATCTCTTGGCGCTGTTGCAATTGACATGGGCCCGTGCTCAAGCTCAAAGTCAAACCCATTCTCATCATCACCACCTTCCGTCGATCATAAACTCTCTTGTACGACGCATCTCTTGAACCGCCAATATGAAGGGACCCATTCCCTTCCCATTGGGTCTCACCATTGGAACAGACATCTGCATGATCCCTCGAGTTTACTCCCTCATCTCCGCGAACCAGGGCACACCCATTGTCCCAACCCTCGGCCGACCCTTTGCCGGACTCGATAACGTGGACAGGTTCACAAAGAAGCTGTTGACCAACAATGAGAGGCAACGACTGGAGGATTTACCGGTCTACCTCAACGCGATGAAGATCATGTCGTATCGAGACGGGATCGGTCAGAAAAAGTACACCATGATGCTTGCGAAGCAGAAGAGCGAGAGGAAGGGCGAGATCTGGAAGCTGGCGGAATGGCTGGCTGGGAGATGGGCGGCGAAGGAAGCGGTGATCAAGGCTCATGCTTTCCGGACGGGGACGCCGGCTGGCAAGGTCACCTTTGGAGGGGTGGAAATTGTTGTTGAGGGGGAGGCGGAAATCGGGGCGAAAAATGGAGCCGAAGAGGGGACTGAAGCCGAAGAGGAATATGAGAAGAGAGATTATATCATGGAGCCGATAAGCGGGTTAGTGGGAGGCAGGACGGAGGTTGGAAGGGTTACGGGTCCACCGGTGGCGGTAGTCTTGGATGATGAGAAGACGGGCCTGAGAGGGCAGGTGGCGCTGTTGAGCATAAGTCATGATGGGGATTATGCGACGGCGGTTTGCTTGGGGTTTAAGCCGGAGGCATTTGGGGGAAAGAAGTAGGGGTTGAAACGTACGCTGGTGTTCAAAGCACCGCTAATCGATCGTGGACTGTACAAAGGCCGAATTGGACGGGAAACTGTGTCTCAAAACATAATCAAAACGTATGTGCCCTGTTTTCTATGTACTTGCGGTTTTTTAAGCCCAGTGTCTCATCGCTGCCTTTCTAGTCGACCGCTATCGCGTCCCTACTAACTGACTTTTCCTCTTGCTCAATATCGTTTGACTCTTGCTTTTTCCTTTGCTTATGCTCTCGCAATAGATCTACTGGCTGGCAATCTTTTAGCCTTACCTGCTAGACTACCAGCAATGGTCTACGGAACTTCGCTCCAATCAATATACTTCCCTCTCCCACCAGTCTCTGGTCTTCAGCCTTTTTCTTTCCGTCATGGTCTTTGACATCTGATGCTTACACATGTCTAGCCCCAACAAAGGGGCCAATGTTCTGCCACTCGACAGGCAGGGGCCTTTCTATTCCCGGACTTATCAAGCTGAGAACCAATCTTCTGACCAACAGATATGAAGAAACAGCAGTCTTGCGTGAACCCCGGAATTTGGTCGAAACTTTTGGGTCTGCCATTATGGCGCAATGCCTGCCTGCTACCAGAGGCGCTTGCTAGGTTGACTGACTTTTTGTTTATATTGGACGAGATAGTGTCATGAATGAACTAATCTTAATGTTCCATGTGCATATATTCTTCGTCAACAGGTAATCGTTTAGGCGCTGCTAACACCCCTGGACACAGTACAAGCATTGTATCGATTGCGGCATAGCTTTACTTTCTGGCCTTTGTCTTTCAACAAATGAGTTGGCCGATTGGCGCAATGGTAGCGCGTGGTCCTCCTAACAAGGGGATTCAAGACTGAGGTTGTGGGTTCGAGTCCCATGTCGGTCGATGTCTTTTTCCATATTTTTGCCCTAATTCTCAACTTCCCGCTTTGACTTTTCCATTCTATTCAAGGAGCAATCGAAAATCTTTTTGACCAATATTCTAGCCTACTTTCAATAAAAGCCTGTAGATTTGGCTTTTGTCATTTTAGTCATTTCTCCATCCTCAAGTGTTGCCTTGGACAATGGCATGGAGAATAACAGCTCAACTGAATTGTGGGGCCACACCAGTTGCAACTTCAACCAAACTCACGGTACGGGAGTGAGACCAGACTGGTGATGAAGCAAAACACGATGGCCTTACAAGTCTACCATTGGAAAGGAGAATTGAGCTTAGTGACGGTATGAATGGACTCGTGGTGTGTTGCAACCTCGTGAATGGCCTACTTGGCTGTGTCTTATCATGGTGTAAAGGCAGGCTGGGCGGGGCATTTTCCTTTTGTTGACTCATCATAGCCGTTGAGCGCACTCGTGGTGCCATCGACAAGTCTAACTGACCCGAGCTGAGGTAGATCCAAAACGAACGTTGTGTTGTCCAACAATAAGGTTCTGAACTTAATATTTTACACTCGCACAAGGTGATTAATTCTCATTCCCAACCCCCCTTCGCTGTCGAACGGCGCAATCATCAATCATTGACCGTCACCAAAGAAAATGGCCTTCACAATGCACTCCCACTCGGGGCAGTTCTGCCCCGGCCACGCCGTCGACTCGCTAGAGTCCATCATCCTCCACGCCATCTCCCTCGGGTACAAGACCCTCGGCCTGACGGAGCACATGCCCCGCACCTCCGTCTCGGACCTCTACCCGGAGGAGCTCCTCCCCACCCCGCAGGCCACGCTCGACTCCCTCTTCCCCCGGCACGAGGAGTACCTCTCCACCGCCGCCTCGCTGCAAGAGAAGTACGCAGACAAGATCCACATCCTGATCGGCTTCGAAGGCGAGTGGATCAGAGGCGAGGAGTACGGGTCGCTGATAGGGGAGCTGGCCAAAGACCCCAGGGTGGATTACTTTATCGGGAGCTTGCACCACACAGCCGGGATTCCCATCGACTACGACAAGGCTCTTTATCAGACTGCTGTCGAGGCCTGCGGGGCCACCGAGGAGGGGCTGTACGAGCGGTATTTTGATGAGCAGCTCGAGATGCTGAGCGCGCTGAAGCCAAAGGTGGTGGGGCACTTTGACTTGATCAGGTTGATGAGCGAGGACCCGGCAAAGGAGCTCAAGACCAGCCCCAAGATCTGGGGCAAGATTGTGAGGAACTTGGAGAAGGTCAAGGAGTTTGGCGGGTGGTTGGAGATGAACACTTCGGGGTTGAGGAAAGGGATGGCGGAGGGGTATCCCAAGAGGGAGATTGCTGAGGAGTGGTTGAAGATGGGCGGGAAGTTCACGTTCTCTGATGACAGCCATGGGATTGGACAGGTAGCGACGAATTATTTGAGGGGGTTGGATTATCTCGAGAGTTTGGGTGTGCAAGAAGTTTGGACGTTGGAGAGAGAGACGCACCCAGGGACAGCGGGGGGGAAAAAGAGCGCGCTGAAGGAGAAGAGTGTGACTATTGCCGAGTTTAAGGCCAGTTTGTCGCTTCCATAATGATGATAGGGTCATGAGGGTACGTCTCTCTCAACAAGAGAAAAAGTGACTTCATTCGACTATATAATTGTGTGAGAGCTGTGGCAGGCGAGCAATTGAAGCTAGGTAGGTATATTTAAAGAAAACAAGCGACTAAGAGATTTGGATCCGGGACATTATCTTAAGCGTCGTATCTAGTCGACCTTCCCAGGAAGGTAGGTATCATTGGATTGTATTGCGCTCGCTGTAAAGCAGTATCGCCACACACCTACCAAGTTCTGCCTACCTTCCTTACCACTTAGAAATACGGTCTTCTTTGTCCTGGACCAACAACGAATGGATTAGAAAGTCATGGTCGCCTGCAGACTTCGCCCTAAGGATGTTGTCGTACGCAGCTTGCATGTCGACAATAGAGTGGTGCACCGTCTCATATGCATGCAAAAATGGCACTAGCCAGAAAAGTTGAGAACCAACATCGTCAGGCAATTCGGCGACCAATGTTGGATTGGCCTCCAGGTCCCTTAGAATCGGGGCCAACGTTTCTCGAATAAGATGAATCCGGGCCAGAAGTACGGGGAGGTGGCGCAGCTTAAGAACGCCAGCTAACCGCAAATCCAGCACAAGTTCCTTCTCCCAATCATATATATCACGCTCAGACTCATACCAGTTCAGTGCAGACTCAACGGGCAGATGCGGGTCAGCATTGAGAGTCGCGATCTTATTCCATGTCCCCTCTTGACCCTTGGTTACCAGCAGTGAGCGTATTATATATATACCGCTCCTCCAGAATTGTACGAGCGCACCAAATTGGCACTTGACTTCGACGTCCAGCATGTCTAAGGCCAGCCCGGCCAATCTTTCCGCAGTCGGTGCTTTACCATGCGTGTCAAGATGGCAGCAATGACACAAGGGTGAGGTTTGGTCCATCTGGATCAGTGTGCTCCTTGGGTTGTAAAAACCTGTGTCCGGAGGGGTCAGAGTGATCCCAAAAGCGCGGCTCTTTTGCCATTTGTCACAGCCCGGGCATCTGATTCGCAACACGCCTGTTCTGCGCAACACGCCTGTTCCGTCTGGCTCTGGCTCGTCCACAGCTCGGAAATCCCAGGTGGTTGATGTAAGCCAACGGTTGCCGGGATTCATACGGGATAGGCGAGATTTGAACTTTGGCATCCGCATCTTTGGCAACAGGCCAGGGAACAGCCAGTTGAATGTTAACCTCATATTCTCCGATCTGTAGCAGGTAACGATGGGGGCATTGGGATTACCACACAAGAGGTTAGTATAACCTTGTTGCTGAAACTTGCACTCGATGCATCTCCGTTCGTGGCGAGCCCTTCCGGTGATGATCCAGGTTGTCTCTCGGAAACATTGGAGGTGCTCCGCCTTTAAAGCCTCTCTTGTTATGCGATCGGGTTCCCAGGCGTTCTCAAACCAATTGTGCGACTCGTCGTAGCGCCGTTCGTACTGCTCTGCGGCGCTGGCAAATTTCATCGCTTGTCTTTGGATCATCGACATCCGTCCCTCCGTTGTAGCCGTGGGTTTCCAGCTCGTAAAAACCATTCTCTGCGTCTCTGGACCTGACACGAAAGGCTTTCTCGTGCCCTTGCTAAATAATGCACCGTCGTCGAACATAAAGTGCGGAAGTATCTTCATACAACCGCAGCAAGCGTACTTATTCTTTGCCCACCGGGTTGCGCCGCGATAGTTGATCTCTGCGTGAACATCACGGCCTGGCTTATAGTCGGGCTCCGGTCCACCGTATTCGGGAAGAAGCTCCAGGGCCAGTAGGCGCTGCTGGAAGTCCCACTCCGTAGGATTCACGTACCCGCGAAGCGCTTTGGAAGCTTGAGAAAAACCAATGAGAGAGATGGGGTCGAGCCAGGAGATAATCTCGTTGAAAATATCGCTCGGAAGTGTATATAGGATAGACTTAGTCGAAGCCATAGTAAAGATGATTGATGTTGTGATGTCGTTGTGTGTTGTATGAGAGTGCGTTGGAGTGAATATTGAATTGCAAGGAAACCCAGTTTCTTATGGTGGCTCAAGCACACCTTTTATACGTCTGTGCATAGCAAGAAAAATGTGCATCTTCTTAGGGCCTGGGGTCAACCACTTGGCAAGGGGATTATACGGAGCCTAAGAATAGAACAAAGAAACTGGCTTATTTTAGGGGTAGCGTTCATTCAGCGTCGTCCAAGCTCTTGTACAATGCTTTGTTGTCCTGCTATTAAACGCCCAGCTTGTGGAGCTTAGCGTTCTCAGACAATGCCTAAGATTGCGCCTTGGTGATTACCTAGAATAGGTACCAAAGCAAGATTACGGCTTCCGCAGTGTGGAATGACACACATCAAACCTGTCGAGTAGGAACGCCTATTGCACGTTACAAGATACTTAGAGTTCCAGATTTGATTCGTTCCGCCTCGTCTACTCTACATCGTCCAGCTTAAACTATACTAAGGGTCAACAACCTGCTTGGCAAATAAGGTAGGAATATGAACCCCCTATATAATTGAGCTTAGGGTTATATACCTAGACAATGGAGCTAGTGTTCCCATATATACGTAGAAGCCCTACCCTGTCAAATTCCGCGGTCAGAACAGCAAGTTCCATAGCTAGGTACCTAGGTATGGCTCGCTTCCGTTGCAATTATCTGTTGTCTGGGAACCCTGTAGGGTATATCGCCCTGTCGGTCTCCAACCTAGGCGCTCTGTCGAGTTGGCAATACTATCAGCGCAGCGGCGTCTTCGATTCTCGCCATATTAGGTAGTCACCTCGACTCAGAGATATCGACATGGTGGTGGACAGCGACAAATTTGCTGACTTCGTGCCATCATCGGCAATGGTTCAGACAGATGCTCTTTAGCACGTCCACAGTCGGAGTGAATTGTTCGATATGGTGTCTTCGAGAATTCACAATTCCCACCAGTGTAGTGTCGATAGATTGGTTGTCTTTTGTATCGGCGTTCGTGGTGTGCTGGTGTTGCAGATGTCTTCCTCATCCAAAGCCCCGCCACTGCTCGCTGCTGGCGAATGGATTCCAATATATGATGTCCCTATCTTTGTGATGCTTCTTCCGCAATATATTCCGGGCTGTTCTGTCCTCGAAAATCTTCGACTTATTTTTGAGCTCTTCTTTCGTCAACTCTCCCAAAGAAACCGATCGTTCAATTTCCGTTAAGATATTCGCTCTTTTCGTTTTAAATCTCGGTCTGTGTCTTTGAAGTTAATCTGTTTAGTGGTTGTTGTCGTTCAGGGCTAGCCCCGTTGCCCCTCTTGCCCCTATTCGAGCCCACCTTCCTGCCCAGCCCAGTTGAATTCGTCAAGAAGCCGCAGATATTACGTTCCTGAGAAAGGGAACAAGGGAGAGTCAAATGAGTGCTGAGACAGACTTGATTCTTTATCTTTTTCTACCTGGATCTTTTCAGCAGCCCTTGC